TTGAGCGGACATTTAAAAAAACAATAAACATCAAAAATAACCATCTTCCAACCTGTTCCGCCACTAGAAATAAAACTAGAAATAAGTTATCCAATTTCCTGCTCTCCTTTCCTCCTGCTTTACAGCAGGTGCAGTCATCTCCACGGCCGACAGACCCCCACCCCACCCCCAGAGTTGTAAAATAACTAAGTACAAATACTTTGTTGCTGTACTTAAGTAGAAATTTTGGTTATCTGTACTTTACTTGAGTAATTATTTTTCAGCGTACTTTTTACTTTTACTCATTACATTTTTACACAATTATCTGTACTTTCTACTCAGTACATTTTTTAAAAAGGTAAGAAGTAGAAAGTTGTTACTTCTATTTTATTCTGAGTTGTTATTAATTTAAAAATCCTATCCTGATAAACTGTGTCTCCTGATAGAGTGAATTTAATTGTGTTTGGATGAGAAGTATAAATATATACCATTCTGACACACTATTAGCTTGTACACAACCCATCACAGCTGCACGTCATGAAACCACTTCGAGGTACTTTATACAACACTGCCCACCCCCATGCGCGGGTATGAGTGGTACGGATTTTTAGCAAAAATGACAGATTTTTGAGGTTCATTATACAGGTAAATGTCCAAAGGGGTTGACATGTATGAGCACCTTCACAGCTAGCGAGAGTGCGCGCACCCGGCGCAAGTAACTACCCAAAGCGTGAGCCTACGCTGCGCTCCGGCCACAACTCAACACTCAGCATCAGCCAGAAGGCTACAAACAGAAAAAACAAATATTCCTACCGTACAGTGAGCCACCATTTGCATTTGATTTTTCTCCCTCTCTTCAGTCTTTTCTTTTTTTTATTTTATTTTCTTCTATGCCGCACGTAACGGGTCGGGTTTTTTACGGCCCGGGACCCTAAAGGTTTTCAGTGCACTCCAACCCAGCCTCCCTTCTTCATGAAAAGTAAATAAAAATGCACCAAGAAACCAAAACCGCCTAATTACATACGGGTGTAATAGACCACTCTATGAAATTAGGACCAGCCCAATCTCACAAAATAATCCCTCAAGATCTTTGCATTATGAAATCCCAGACAATGATGATCTACCAACTCTGACCATGAATGAGAAATGAAAACTTGTGACCTGAACGTATTTCCAAAATAAAGTAATTTATTTTTAGATATATGAACAGGATTAAACATACAAATATTTATTAAAATATTATATGAATAAATGAACACAAGTTATATTTTCGACATATGAATTACACCTCAGAGTTGTCATAAACAGTAAGTTCCAGGTGTTGTAACTTACTGGCACGCTGCTTAAGTAAGTTTTAAGTAAAAAGAGAATAAAGATAGTAAAGATTTATAGCTTTAAGGATAGGAGGAAAAGAAATTAGTGAATTTAGCACTTGTTCTCCAAGTCAAGACCAGACCAGCACCACARCATGTCAAAGACCAGACACCTCCGAAGCTAGACTTCCTTCGATGTGTTTTCTCAACAAACGTTGGTTCTACCTTTAGATGTCTTCAGACAGAGCCGAACCGGCAGGCAGGTAGAAGGTTTTGAGAGTGTCGGCATCACGAAGTCCGCCAGGATGGATAATGTCCGTCATGACATCAGGGGGTTGAGAAGATTCTATCTCACCCCTAACGAGCCTGTGGCTCCCGGCACTGGTCTCAGTCGCTTCTTGGCAGTAAAATTAGGTTAGTAACATCAGACTCCCATCCAAACAGGTGCCCAGAGACGGACACCACTCCTTAGAGAGACCCAGTTAGAACCATGCTTACTCCGACAAACAGACAAGAACAACTGGTCAACGGAGTGAACAGAAAGTTAGTTCTTTGAGAGAAAAAAAGAGAGAAGAAAAACAATCTGTTTTTCCCACACTTGCGGCCAGCTGTGTTGTTGTTATCAGCAAAAAGACCTTGGAAGTCTGAATAGACAGACTAAACTGTCGTCTTAAAAATCACTTCACTGAGGTTATAAATCACATCCACCATTAATAGTAAAATTAATAGTACACAATAATTAATCACTAAACCAATTAAGAAAAATGATAAAACCATGATTAATAAACCAGTACTAAGAAAAAATAGTAAAACACATTTCAACTCTTTTTTCTTCACAGTGTTAAACTCTGGAATAAAGAGAGATGCAAAGATTAATTCAATAAAACTTTGAGTAATGATATATTGATTATAACCTCTAATGGAAGATTAAATGAAGAAAACATTTATAACATATTGTCCTATTCACTTAAAGAAAATAGAAACAAACTTTAAAATGACTTTCTTCTTATAAGTGTAAAAGCAAAATCAAAGACAAAAAAAAATAGAAATGTTTATTTCACCCCTACACGGGATTCAGCCCATTCCTGTCCAAATCACAGAGATGCCTGTTCACATTGGATTAGTATTATCACAGGACCTCGGAGTTCAGCGAATTATGGTAGGTAATTTGCGGGGGAATTTTTACTTCACAAATTACTGACATGACCGATTCTCACAGGTTTAACAACACAGACAATCTCTGTAATTATTACAAATAGCATGGGGTCCCTAGGTAAAAATAATCCAGTCAGAATAGGGCTTTAAAGTTAATTACAACCCATATTCTACGTACTGCTCATTATGTGGGAGTCTTGCTTCAAATTCTACCAATAATGAACAGATTGAACCCTATCTGTCTGTTAGCAAAATATCTCATGAATTCTGGACAAATTTTATTAAAACTTTCAGAAATTAGGCATTGAAAAAAATTGTTATTCCAACTGTAGATGATTACCAGAGTTAATCAGTATTATACAGCACAGAAATTATTAAGGCTCAGTCATTTTTACAAATATTGAACTGAAATTATATTTGTTTGTAGATGAGAGTCTGAAAAAAGAACCACAAAATACATTATGTAGAGAAGCACTGTTTATGTGTTGCTGCAGCTCATTCAAGAATGAGCAGAAAGTCACGACAGTTGCAATCAGGCTAACCTTGAACTGACTTGATTCAATCTCTTGTAAAACATCAAAAACTGATTAGAAATTTTGCAATCTTTACAAAGAGTTGAAGGTTGGATCTCTTTTCTAGCAAATATAATCCAGGTTATTACTTCATCCCCAAAGCAGAAGCAAAATCATGTAAATGTAGGAATTTAATTCTAGACCCAGCAGTCCCAACAATGGTGAAATAAATTAATGTAGGCAGGAAAAAGTCCTTAGCAACAAGAAATTACTATATCAAGGATAGAAAGAATGCAAATTAAATAGGAATTTAAACTCTAAGTTAATGTAAATTTGCAATAGCAAGTTGATTTACTTTTCTGATACGACTTTAGAAAATGTTTTGCTGCAAATCAGGAGTCCATGTGAGAGTTTTTTTAAGACTAAAACAAACGGTGCAGAATGACACCCACCAGTGAATCACACAGCTTCAGAACTGCATTTAAATGAAGTGTCCTGTATAATTAGATAAACATTTAAGTGTAAGTTTTGTCAAACATATTTGAAATAAAACAAAAAAGTTATACAAAAATCTGGGGTTTTCAATCCTGAGACATGAGGATAAAACATGCACAATCTTCAGATGCTTAAAAAGAGCAATAGACAAGAAAACACATGATACAGGTCATATTCACACCTGATAGTCCTGTAGACTTGGTTTGATTGGTGTTTGATTGGGGACCAAAATTGCATAAATGGTTTACATTTTCAGTTGGTGTGGTTCCCATTCACAAAGCTCTGTGCCAAACAAATCAAACCCTGTGAACAACCTGTTCCCTCCCTCACCTGTGGGGGCGCTGCACCAAGAACTACTGAAGGAATCGACACGAAAACCTCAGAAGAAGACATGGAGCGCGACTTCCTTCTTCAAAAAAATGTAAAACATGGAGTGCCGTCAGATTTTAGGATTTATTTTTTGGTTTTGGAGAATATGCCAAAAAAATAAACAATGAGCTCAGCATGAGAGGAAGATGAGACAGAACCATGGAGACTATTGTTTTCCACACAAAGAGGCTGAGATGCTCCATGTGAGGTTGTGTTCACCGAGTAGGAGCACATCCAACTTCACAGCAGTGATGTCCACCTTATACAGACATCAGCTGAGGTATTTACAAGATATGAGTAACATTACAGATATTACTCAGAAGGCCCTGTGTTATAGTTCATGTCCTGCTTTTGGAGCATTCTCTGGTCCACTTGGTGTTCACACGTATAATCTAACTGCACTAGAGTTTGTTGTGGTCACCCAACAAATGTATTATATCATTTGTAATTACAATTTTATGATTTTGTTGAATATAGTATTTTATAGGTCATGTAAAAGCACATAAAATATTACCTCCAGACATTCAATTGAAATTTTTTAAAAGACCGAGTCATAAAGGATTTTTATTTTGCTAAACCTCTATTTTGTAATTCAAAGAAAAGGTCTGTGGACTTGACTTCCATCCATCATCTATACCTGCTTCTTCCTTTCAGGGTCACTGGTGCCCACATCCAGCAGTCACAGAGCGAGGGGCGGGGTACACCCTGGACATGAAAGATGCCTGATGTTTTTGTTTACTTTTTTAATTTGAAGATTGTTCAAACTTAAGTTATTAGTAGTTTATTTAAATATTGGGGAATCAATTTTTTTTTCTCCTTTCTGTGTTAGGTGGTTAGAATTGAGCTCTGGTAAAAGGCCGGACCACAAAGGAAGATTTAACCATTTATTATAGTTAAACACAAACTTGACGTCTCTCTAGTTTAGCAGCAGATCCGGGTCAGTCAGTTCTTGTGGCAGTTGTGGTTCCTCCTCCCAGTCTGTTGCCTGGCAGCAGATTATCAGCAGCTGCACCCTCTTCACCTGATGACTCCTGGAGCTTTATAAGGAGCTCATTGTGATTCAGACCTTTGCTGGAACATCAACTACCATTAGTTGTCCTGTTGCTCCTATGAGGAAGTCATCATTAGAGTTCTGCTGAAGAAAGTTTGGAAATACTCACCTGCTGCCACGCCCTGCTCAACTCACCTGCCGCTCTGCCTCACCTCTCTGGTCCTCCCGTTACGGATTCTGGTTCTACTTCTGTCTTTTAAAGTGTTGGATAAAACAGTCCAGTCCTCCTGGAAAAGTAAGACATATAACCTTAAAGAAAGAGAACCTTCTCTCACCATCAAGCCAAACCTGACCACTTGTCTCCTCTCACAGGTTCAGAAGCTGATCCAGATCTCACTGTAAATAAACTCACTTACCTTAATTCTGTCTCCTGAGTATTTGTTCCTCTTTCCTGCCTAATCGTGACATTGCCTCTGATTTCATGACAGTTCTGGACATAGAGAGACAGGATTAGTGGTGGGACAAGACTGGTAAATGATGTAGACATTAACCAAAGCCACTAACCTGTTATTCGCTGAATGAGTCCATGAAGAAACACTGAGTTGTTTTGATTCCGGAGCGAGTCGATGACGTCACTGTTTGTGTTTTTTTTTTTTTTTTTTGGGTGGGATCTGAGAGACTGAGACTGGGTCGTTGGACAGGCAAGGGTCATACACAAGAATCCGAAGTGCAAATCTGATTTTGAAGGAGGAGGCAAGGTTCTTGTTTCCGTGGGACAGGTGTGGGTCATTTTCCAGAAGTCCGAAGGAGTGAAGTGCCGTTCAGGGGAGAAAGCAGAGACGTGAGCCAAAAAACCAAAAGAAGCGTCGTTACCGTGGGAGCAGATGGCAGGACAAAACCAAGAGGACCAGAGGCAGGAGTCAAAAAACCAGAGGACATGAACGAGGTTGAGGACACAGGACAAGAACGAGGCACGGGGACAGAACGCTGGATAATCACATGTAAGGCTGATGAGAATCTGGCAATGAGCAGAGGTGGAGGACGCAGGTGATGTGAATGAGCTGATTGCATGATATGACAGGAGGGATAGAAAACAAGAGCAGGCAGGGGCAGACTGTGAAATAATGTGCATAATCATAACATTCTGCACCTATATCATTCAATGTTTGATATATTTAGTTTTTTAATGGATTTTTTGTTTTGTTTCTTTTAAATGAATAAAATCTTGATTTAACTGATAGGAATTAAAATTGCTTCAATCTTAAAAGTTGATACTGTATACCATAAATTATTTTTACAGTAAGCAATCTAATTTGTATTTTCTACAACAATGTATGTTGTTTTTCCCCTAGACAAATAATTTTGACTCTTTATTCACTGTGTTGTATGTTTAACTGTATGATGTGGTAGAAACCCACATTAATTACAATTTCTCAAATGATCACTAAATACAGTACAGTGGGCTGCAAAAGTTTAGGCAGCCTTATTAATTTTCCTGATATACCTTTTATAAATCTTTGTTTGGATTAAATATATCAGTAAAATATATCATATAGGGGACAAACACAGTGATATTAGAGAAGTGAAATGAAGTTTAAATGATTTACAGAAAGTGTACAATAATTGTTTAAATTAAATTAGGAAGGTGCACAAATTTGTGCACTGTTGTCATTTTATTGATTTCAAAACCTTTAGAACTAATTATTGTAACTGAAATTTGGTTTGGTAAGTTCAGTGACCTTTGACCTCCATACACAGGTGACTCCAGTTATGAGAAAGGGTATTTAAGGGAGAAATTTGTAAGTTTTTCTCCTCTTTGCATCTTCTCTGAAGAGTGGCAGCATGGGAGTCTGAAAACAAGTTTCAAATGATCTGAAAACAAAGATTGTTCAGCGTCATGATTTAGAGGAAGGAGACAGAAAGATATCTGAGAGATTTCATGTTTCAGTCTCCACTGTGAGAAACATTGTGAGAAAATGTTAGACCACAGGCACAGTTCAAGTGTAGGCTCCAAGTGGCAGACCAAGACTAATCTGGAATAAACAGAAGTGAAGGATGTTGAGAAGAGTCAGAGTCAACCCACAGACCAGCACCAAACACCTACATCATCTTGCTGCTGATGGAGTCACTGTGCATCGTTCAACTATTCAGCACACTTTACACAAGGAGATGCAGTATGGGAGAGTGATGCAGAGGAAGCCTTTTCTCCGCCCACATCACAAACAGAGCTGCTTGAGGTTTGCTAAAGCACATCTGGTCAAGCCAGCTTCATGTTGGAATAAGGTGCTGTGGACTGATGAAACTAAAATAGAGTTATTTGGGCAGAACAAGAAAAACACCTGCTACCTACAGTAACATGTGGGGCTGGTTCCATCATGCTGTCGGGCTGTGGGACCAGTACAGGGACTGGGAATCTTGTTAAAGTTGAGGGACGCATGGATTCCAACCAGTATCAGCAGATTCTGGAGACCAATGTCCAGGAATCAGTGACAAAGCTGAAGCTGCTGAAGCCGGGGCTGCATCTTCCAACAAGACAACCACCCTAAACACTGCTCAGAATCTACTGAGGCCTTCATGCAGAGGAACAAGTAGAACGTTCTGGAATGGTCATCTCAGTCCCCAGACCTGAATATTATTGAAAATCTGTGGTGTCACTTAAAGAGAGCTGACAATGCTCAGAAACCATCAAACCTGAATGAACTAGAGATGTTTTGTAAAGAAGAATGGTCTAAAATACCTTCAGACACAATCCAGACTCTCATTAGAAGCTGTAGGAAGTGTTTAGAGGCTGTTATTTCTGTGAAAGGAGGAGCTACTAAATACTGAGTTCAGGGTTTTTATGGTGCCCAAATTTATGTACCTGCCTAATTTTGTTTAAACAATTATTGCACACTTTCTGTAAATCATTTAAACTTCATTTCTCTTCTCAAATATCACTGTTTGTCCCCTATATGATATATTTAGCTGATTTTCTTCATCCAAACAATCAATGATTTATAAAGGTAAATCAGGAAAATTAACAAGACTGCCAAAACGTCTTTACCCCACTGTATATACAGTATGTGTGTTTACAGTTAGGAAGCCTAAATACCTTACAGGCTTGTTCAACCATTTAGACATTGTAGGGTTAGACTGTAAATGCAAAAGTCAGTGTAAATATTTTCAAGATGAAGAAGACAGAACATCTAGTTTAGTTTAGTTTTTTATTTTACCTTCACTTTTTGATCTGAAACATAAAAATAAACAGGTGACTCAAAGTTTACCTATACATACCCTATTCACAGGCAAAGAATTATTGTTTTTAATGTACATTTTCCCAACTCTAATTCATTAAAACTTGAATTTTCTTTTAAATTAATTAATTCTAAGTGAAGTGTTTTTGTGGTTTGAGTGTGTGTAAAAAAGAATAACACTCTACAGGGAGTGAGTAATTGCTTTGCAGCATCTTTTCTGAAAATAAAATGGTCTGAAAGCTGGAAAGCAAAGAACTTGAATAATCAATCAGCCCCACTGTATCTCATAATTGTTACTTTTCTTTTAATTTTCAGAGTTTCAAGGTTGTGCTATTTGTTGTATTTTTGTTTGACTGAAAACTTGGCTTCATACTAACAACTCTGATGTGGTTATCTAGCTAGGTGGGCAAACATCCTTTTCATGCAAACAAAAAAGCAGAGAGCTACTGCATGAGCTGACGTGGTTCACTTTGTGTGAAAAGGATTTTTGTGTACGTAACACTTGCAATGTGGTTTCGGTAACTAGTATACACTAGAGAACACACTAAAACCTGTACTAGGTTTGACAACTGGAGCAGTGACAGGTTTATGAGTATTACTGACCACAGACCAGTGAATAAAAAAAACTGCCGGCTTATTGTTCAATGAAGAAGAAAAAGTACGAGATAAACAGTTTACATACACATACGTACATTTCAAGGACTGTTTTCTTTTTGGTGTCTCAACCTATATTATTGTTCTATTTGACTTTTCTACTGTTTATTTTTATTTACAGTTATATATTTTAATTTAATTGCGTTAAATCAGTGTTGTTTCAAAAACTAAAGTTCTCTAAATCCCAATTTTAAACACTTCTTGTTCAGCCTTAGCTTAACAGAAATGTTCACTCTTCAAACATCTTAGCAGCATTGAACGTAAAACAACAACAACAAAAAAAGGTACAAAATTAAGATAAGATAAAATAAGACAGACCTTTATTGTCATTGTACGGAGCATAATGAAATTACAGTTCAGAACACCTATTCAGAAGAAGACAGAACATAAACATGGGAGAACAGGTGCTCTGGGTCATGCTGCCACAGACCTGCACAGAGCAAGGATCATTTTCATGAAGACAGAGCCTCAGTCGACCTATACATCCAGGAAGGTTTAGTTCCACAGCTCAAGGCCATGTAGGGGAGAGCCAGATTCTGTAATCAGTTGTTTTGGGAACAGAAGAGTCAAGCAAACAATAACCATTTTCCATCCGCCTTCATGTCCGCTGGTACATCTCAATGTGGTGAATCCAATCAGACAAATAATGTGGACAAATTCCACCGAGCCGAGCTGTCAGCTTCTCCAAGGTCAATTCCATCTGGCCAGCAAAGTCCAGGAACCACAGCCGGCCCACGACCCTCAGCTGAACCGCTTTCAGACTGAGTCCATCTTGCTCCAGACTAAAGTCTGAGTGTAGCTGCCATTGAAGGCAGCTCATATTTATTCTTTTTTTATTATTATTTTGTTTAAAAAGGGCAATAAACCAATATTAATATCTAAAAATAAATGTCTGTTGAAACCCAGGAACAATGGTGAGCCTTGTTTTTAAAACTTGAGAGGAGTAACAGTCAGAACTCAGCCGGCTTGGTGCTGGAGAAGTGCAGAGGGGAGCCGAGCCTGCTGCAGCTGTGGAGCCAAGCGGACAGGGAACAGCTCGTTAAAGAGTGACTCAAGACAGACTGCATGTACGGACAGGAGGCAGCCGGGTCCAGAAGTGCAGCGTGGTTATTCTGTCACCAAGTAACACGTTTAAAATAAGTTAAATGTGAAGAGGTAAAATAATCTCGCTAACTTTAAAGGGACTCTGTAAGTGCTTAAAAAAGAAATATCCTGTACAAGTAAAGGTTTTTGTCTTCTCCTTTGTTTGATGTTTACAAGCTGATTGTTATTAAGCTAATTTTAAGTTCATTACAAGTGTTAGACAATTTTAGGTATAAACCAAGTTTTATTTATGTAGTTTGATTGATATGGAAAGTCATTTTTCTGTTTTTTGTAACAAGTGAAAGATTTATTATTCGGATAAGGTGTTTGTAACCTTTTAAGTTTTTTTTAAGAGATAAGTAATTTAAGTTTGTAAACACATTTAAATTGTGGTATTTAAGTAGAGTTAAAATAATACACCACATTTGAGATTATCTGTGAGGAAAAATTTGTTTGTGACTACATTTAAAGGCTGTTATTAAGGTTGAGTTAAAGCCTCACACTTTTAAYCTAAGGACATTTAAGTTAAAGTTAAGTAATAAATCCTAAAAAAGTACACAAAAATGAATAGCGACATGCCATGAAACCGCACTGTGACACTGAAGCTGTGGGGTTGCAGCAAGAAGAATGTTGCAAAGAAGCGACCTCAAATTCAAGCTCAGAGTCAAGCGCAAGTAAAGCAGCTTCAGGAGAGGGTTTGAGGAAAAGTGTAAGACAGAGAAAACGCACCAAAAAGGTCAGGCGCTACATGAAGAGAGAGTGAATAAGCTTCAAGCTCATTTCAAGGTTAGCTATGATAAATGGAAAACTGCTGCTAAACAAGCTAAAAGAGCACTCAAAGCACCTGGTAACACAAATTTACAGGATCACATTGTTCAAGTCCAACACACCTCAGAAGATACAAAGCAAGCCTATGAAGAGCTGTGAAGTTATGAAACACCTGATAGGGATACCTGTCTCAGAATGGACACTTGTGATGCAGTTTTCCAAAAGATTATACAACAAGTTCAAGAAAACATTGCTGCAGAAGATGAGAAAGACACAAAAAGGAGATCTGTGCGCTGGAGTGAAGTTGACTTAGTGCTCACTTCAGCAGTCTCCCAAAGATCCAAGCACTCTAGCAGTGTACATTCAAGCCACTCTAGTGAATTGTCTGCTAAAAGGCAAGAAGCAGCAGCAGAACTGGCTGCAACAGAAGCCACTCTGAAGGTGATGGTGAAATGGAGCGTGAGAGAAAGAAACTTGAAGATCTTGAATTA